GCTTCCTGGGTGGTGAGCACGTGGCAGAACGGGGACAACAGTGCACTGGGCAGGGGGAGGGGGAGTGCATGGGGCATGGAAGCCCCACCTTCCCCCTCCACCTGCCCTACGCAGCTCTTCCACATGGCTCTTGCTGAATTGTGCCCTGTATGATAAACTGGTCAATGAAAGTCAAGCGTTTCTCTGATTTTTGTGAGCTGTCAAAGCAGATGATGGAAGCTGAGGAGGGGTTTGTGGAAGCACCCCTGGCTGCTGGTTGGTGAGAAGGAAGGGTGGCCCGGAACTGGGACTGGCGACGGAAGTGGGGGCAGGCTTGGGAGACTGAGCCCTCATCCTGTGAAGTCTGCACCAGCTCCAGGTAGCTAGGGTCAGGAGTCAACGGTAGGGTACTCATGTGCTGTCCAGAAAGCTGCAGCACTGGTTAGCCCACATGGGTGGCATCCGAAGCACCATGGAGCAGGGCCGGCAGTGGAAGGGTCCCCGAGTGTGAGCTGGTGGAGGACCCTCCCCATTGCACCATGCCCTGACACTCACAGAGGCGGCTGCTCTCTTTGACCTCAGAGTTCCTAGCCTCTCAGATTTCTGCAGGAGTTGAGAGATGTTGCGGGATTCTCGGCCAGACACTTGGGGCTTACACATGAATGGGCGTTGGAATGTCAATCGGGATCCAAGTGGCTTCTGTTGCCCGTCTGCAGCAGGGCGTCCCCCAGCTCTGGTCCCCGCCCTGGGGGGTGCGCAGCCACTCTGCCCTGCTCCTCTTGCTCCAGTTAGAGCAGAGGGTTTGCAGCGAGTGGTCTCCCAGCCTTGGGGAGGCAAAGCTTTGCCCACCCCCACCCCACCTGGCCTCCGTCCTCTTCCCTCCTCAGGGGTCTGGGTCCGGTCAGGGTTTTATCCCCAGAGGACGATGGTTCTTTTCCCCCTTCCAAAAAATGTTCTTCTCCTGACTCCTGGTGGGACCTCTAGATTTCTGGGCAGCATCGCTCCCTTCAGATGCGGGATCTCAAGGAAGCTCCTGTGACTTCCGGGGGAATGCCGCGGCCACGTCTGTCCTCCGGCGGCACAGGCGTCTGCTGACCTGGCAAAGCCTGGGGTTCACCCGACCCCTTGGTCCCTTCCGCTCGTCCTTGGCAAATCACCTCTCCACCCCCACCCCCCACCCCGGACATCTGGGAATGAGATTTCTGACGTGCCAAGCTTGGCCTTGACCAAACCCAAGTATCCCTGGGCTGGTCTGTCGGAGGCTCTGATTCACAAAGGGAAACATGGCTAGCAGGGCCCCAGATCCCAGTGCCCTGAGTTCCCCCAACACCGCATTAGCAAGAAGTTGAGCCGCAGACGGCTCGGGTGCGACCCAGAGGCGGGCAGCAGCAGCAGCAGCACCCAGGACCTGGGGACTTCGCAGGTCCTTGGATGCCGCCTAGACCTCAGTCAGAGTCTCTGGCGCATGCACGGGTGAGTGTGTGCGGGTGGGTGTACACGGGTGTTTTGGGTCTGTCTTAAGTCCTCCAGATGATTAGGGAGCATGCTCAGGGCAGCAGACTGGAGTCCTAGTTATGACTTTGGTGGCATCTAAGTGGAGGGAAGGGATTCTTTCAGACCCAGCAGAGCAGCTGCCTGACCCTTGACCCTTGACCCTTGACCCTTGACTGCCAGCCCCCCAGCTAACTTCCCCTGGGTCACTGGTCCTGGGGCATTTTTCTCTCTCCTTCCAGTGGAGTGCCTTCTTCCTATTCCCAGGTTCCACTTTTTCAGAGTTCTCGGGTCACAGCAGTTGGGCTCCCGTGGCCCTGTGGCCAAGGACTCCTATAAGCCCGTGGCTTTGCTTCTTGGGAGGCCTCTGACAATCTCCCGTGGTAACACAGTTAGAGTCACATCCAGGGACAGCCAAGCCACCACCGCCACTTCCCTGAGTGATGGACAGGTTGAAAAGTCAGAAACCTTCACCCCCTGCTCAGAATTCTGCCCCATCTCTACCTGGGTGTTCCCCAGGCCCTCAAGCCCACCATGCCCCCCACAGAATCCATCTTCTCCCCAAAACTAGCAATCTGGTTAACACCTTAGTGGAGTCAGCATCATCCTCCCAACATCTGAGCCAGAAATACTGATTCTACCCTCTCTGCTGCCGGCTACATCCAACAAAAGAGGACACTGTATTTTTTAATCCACCAAACAACTTTTGAATCTTCCTGTCCTCACCACGTCCCTCTGTCGTTGTCCAGGCCATGGACTTATCTCTCCTTTCCCGAAGTGTTTCCCTACATCTCCAGTCCTTGCCCTCTTCTCCTAGTTCCCTCCATACTGTGCCATGTGCCACTGTCCTTGTTTGGTGACTATCTTGTCATGTGACTCTGCTGCCACCAGAGGGCGCACTCCCCAGAGGCAGTGCTCTGGGTTTCTCTGCACATTTGCTGAGTAAAAGAAGGTGCCCATCCTCTGGACCCTTGTTGTCCTGGGTCACCTTCTGTCAGGGACTCCCATGAGGTCTTGGAGCACATGTGGAAATGATGGGGGAAAGGCCAGTGACTTAGTTGGGTGGCCAGTGAGGATTGAGAGAACACAGCAAGTTGGTTTAAGGCATCTAACCCAACGAGATGAAAATTTGGAGTTCACATCTTTGCCTCAGATACCCCAAAACACTGCCTTAGCACAGACTGGAGGTGATGGGGCTTGGCCAAGCACAGGGGAAGAGACTTGGGGGTCTGCATGAATCACTTAGTCAACAGCCAGCAGCAGGCTGATTGACTCTGCTAACTGGATTGGGATGCTCGCGGGGGGGCTGGGGGAGGCTGGGAGGCAGGAGGGACTGTAGGGAGTGGAAGAGGAAGGAAGAGAGGGAGCGAGGAAGGGAGGGAGCAGAATGGAAGGAAGCAGGCAGCAAACTTCTTGTGGTGCCTTGGACATAATTGGGTCTTGGGGACATTATCCCAATAGGATACAAAGTTTCTAACTTTCCAAACTATAAATGACTTCAGGGACAACCAAGGTCCCAAAGAACAAACGGGGTCTAATTGTTTTCTAGGGGCAATGGCCAGGCCTTAGGAAATTTTTCCCCAACCACACAAGACAGGTGGAGGGGACAGGACCAGCCAGACCCTCACCTGTCACAGGTGCACCTGTCACGCGTTCTGAGCCCTGAGCCCTGCTGCTTCAGACCCTCTGACGTGCAGCTTCTTCCCAGCACTTAGGAAACGGCTCGTTCTTCTCAGCAAGTTGCTGAGAAAGCTTTGGTGAGGGGAAGAGCAAGCTTCAGTAGCTCAGCTTCATTGCTCTCATCAGACTGTGGAACAGGCGCGGGCGCGGGAGCGGGGAGGGTGTGGAGGGTGTGGAGCTCTTTCCTCATCCCTGTGTGGTGAACGCTTGCCGGGCACGCACTCCTGTCCCGCTTCCCGCACTCAGCTGGCCCGCCTTGGTGACAACCGCTGTAGGCACAGTCTGAAGTCCATGGCCACCCCGGGCCACGTGTCTGCATGTGGGGATGGTGACTGGAGGGAACACTCTCTTCACAGGGCCCCGGATGAGCCAGTGTGAGCCCTGCTAATGCACCTAGGAAAGCAGTGGAAGATGGCTCAAGTGCTTGGCTAGCTGTGAGGCCTGGCCAGCTGCTGGCTGCATCTCTGCATCACAGGTACCCATGGGTCCCAGGCACAGGGTCTGACTTCAAGTTTGGGACCATTTTCCGTATCAGCCTTTGTAGTCCTTTTGTAGCCTTTTGTAGACCCCTGGATGATGTATTTGCCTCAGAGAGACACAGCTATGCTTTGTTTTTCTTTTCTTTTCATTTTAAATTTATTTTACTTGAAAGGCAAAGTTAGAGAGAGAGACAGACAGACAGACAGACATAGATCTTCCAGCCGCTAGTTCATTCCCCATATGGTTGCAACAGCCAGGGCTGGGTCAGGTGGAAGCCAGGAGCCAGAAGCTTCTTCCGAGTCTCCCACAAGGCTAGCCAAGCACTTGAGCCATCTTCCACTGCTTTCCCAGGTGCATTAGCAGGGAGCCAGATCGGAAGTGGAGCAGCCAGGATTTGAAGTGGCACCCATATGGGACGCCAGCACTGCAGGCTAAGCCACAACTCTGGCAGCTATAGCTGTGTTTTTCAAGGACCTGGGGAAAGAGAGAGATGGATGCTTGTTCGTCTTCATGCTGAAGCCAAACAATGTCTGGATATGTGAAGCTGTCCCGCGGAGGATGTGGAGGACGGTTAACTGCCCTTTGAGGCCCCAGATGGCAGGGCCCGGCATAGGCTGCAAGCGGGTAGAGTTCAGCTCCATCCCAAAGGCCAGCTAATTCCGGAGGAATTGAGCCTTGTCAGGAGGCCAAGAGCCCCACACTGCTCGGTCAAGCCTGGCACCAGGACTATCAGAAATGCAGGAATGGTTCTCGGCCTGGGAGAGGAACGGTGGCCCCACGGGTTACAAGCCCGGGAGTGATTAGTGCGGTCGAAGGAGATTATGACCACGGTCTAATTGTTTACAGGACTGTCTCAAATAAAAATTACTTTATTTGAGAGGCAGAGAGAAAGAGACAGAGGCAGACCAGAGAGAGTGCTCCCAGCCACAGGGTCACTCCTCTCAAGGCCCTCGGTGGCTGGGGCTGGGCTGGGGTGAAGCTGGGATCTCAATCCAGGTTTCCCGCGTGGCTGCAGGAACCCAATTTCTTGAGCCATCGCCACGGCCCGCACAGGTGTGCGTTAGCAAGAAGTCAGAGTCCCAGCGGTGCTGGGCGTGGGACCAAGGCGCTCCAGGGAGGGGCGTGAGTGCCTTCACCACAAGGCCAAGCACTTGCCCACCCTCTCTAGATCTTGAGTTCTTTGGGGTCAGGGGCTGTGCCTTTCATTGCTGTTTTCCCTCATCCCGAACTGTGCCTGGCCCAGAGCAGATGCTCCAAAACTGTCTCTAAAACCTGAACTGAATCATCACGGCCCCACGAGCACTGCGGGCCGAGGCCCCACTCAGGGGCTGCCCGGAGCTTCCCAGGCAGGCAGCCCCAGCAACGGCTGAGGCTCTTGGGGCTGGGAATCAGAGAAGTCATGCGTATTTGCTTTTTAAGAGTGATCTATTTATTTGAAAGGCAGAGTTACAGGCAGGTGGGGAAGGACAGGGAGAAAGATCCAGCCACTGGTTAACTTCTGAAAAGGCCGCAATGGCCAGGGTGGGCCAGGCTGAAGCCAGGAGCCTGGAAACCCCATCCAGGCCTCCCATGTGGGCGGCAGGGGCCCAAATACCTGAGCCCTCCTCTGCTGCCTTCCCAAGGACACTAGCAGGGAGCTGGATCAGAAGCGAAGCAGCTGAGACTGGAACTGGAGCTCCGATAGGGGGTGGCAGCAGAGCAGGAGTCGGCTTAACCCGCTGCACCACACGCCGGTCCCTCACGAGTATTTTGGTTACAGGGCAAACAGAGCCAACTTGCCCAGCACCCTCAAAGTTGCAACCAGGTTTTGTACTGGGCCAGAACAAATGCTTTTAAGAACGCCTAGAAGTCTGGGGAGAGAGTTAAGCTTCCCAGAAAGAAGCGCTCACAGCAGGACCGCAGGTTCTGCAAACAGGCTCAGGAGCGCGGGTGCCTCGGGTCAGGCAGCGGAGGATGAAGCCAAGGGGAAGCTGAAGGTTGCAGTGCCCCAGGGGCCCGCCGGCTGCTCCACGTTTACAAAAGTATCAGCAGGACTTTCAGGCTGTGGCACTGTGAGCGTCAATACGTGGGCTGCTTCTGTCAGCAGTGTCAGCAGGAGTCCTCTAGGCTCCCGCCTGGGCCAAGAAGGAGGATGCTTGATTTTTCTGTTGGTGGTGGTGGTGGTGGTTTTTTTTTTTGGTGTTCATTAATATCGTGTTATCACCTTGTGTGCCTTATTTTTACAATGTATGCCAGCAGTTATATTTCCAAAATTATTTATAGAAATTGCATCAGGGCCAGCACTATGGAGTAGCAGCAACACTGGCATCTCATATGGGCACCAGTTCCCATCCTGGCTGCTCCACTTCCAATCCAGTTCTCTGCTCATGAGCCTGGGAAAGCAGCAGAATATGGCCCAAGGGCTTGGGCCCCTGCACCTGCGTGGAAGACTCGATCAAGCTCCTGTCTCCTGACTGCTGCCTGGCCCAGCCTTGGCCGTTGCAGCCATTTGAGGTGTGAACCAGCAGATGGAAGACCTCTCTCTCTCTCTCTCTCTCTCTCTCTCTGCCTAACCCTCTCTCTAACTCTGCCTTTCAAATAAATAAATACATCTTTAAGAAAAAAAAAAGAAGTTGTCTTGATACTGGGGTGATGTTAGTGTTTGCCTCTCAGGTATTGGGAGCCTTGAAGGTCTGGGACCAGCTCAGCCCGACCTCAGGGCTATGGGAACATCCAGGCTGACACCTGCTTCCTCCTACCTGCCCTTGACCTATCGTACCGCCCTTTGCGACCCCACTCCAAATATAAGAAGTTTAGTTGGGGGGCTCTCACAGTGGACTTTGTACCCCAGAACCTGTTGCCCATCTCCAGGGGCTGCCGGCAGTGCCTCGAGAGGCTTCAAAGCCCCCCTTTGGAACACAGCCTCTGGGCTGTCCTCACTTCCCCAATCCCTGCTTTTCCTAGAACCGTGACCCCACGCCTCCTCATTGTCCTGTTACCTCTGCAATGTTTCCCACCCCATTTGCACCTCTGTCTAGTTTTTCTAAGTGTCATCTATAAGAAAGCTGGTCCAAGTGAACCTGTTTGTTCTCACAGCCAAAGCTAAATGCTGAACTCTACTGCGTTGCTCCTAGAACTGCACCCAGGTGAGCACATGGTCAGGGCTATTCCCCCATTGTGCATTAAGGCAAAGATTCTCACCCAACTGCCCCAGCACACTTGGAGGGAGAGAATGCTGGACTTGACCTGAGTTCCCGGAAGTGTCAGAGAAGATGCACCAAGGATGAGACGAATAGGACCCCCCCACCATGGTGGGGTTCATTCTCCTGTGACTCTCAGCCCACCCAACGCTGGAGATTCAGGATCTTTATTGAGATTTCTGTTCTCAAATTTTATATGATTGCTCTAATCAACCCAAATGTATTGTTACTTAGAAAAAAAAAAAAAAAAGAGGAAAGATTTCCTTGCGGTTGCTCAAGTGGATCTTTGTTCTTATAGATGAAAGAGCAAAACCGAACAAGTGGGGATGAAAATTCACTGAGGAGTCAGGGCTCTCAGCTGGCGCTGGCTGCAGATTCAGGGACCACCAGGACGCCAGGGTCCCGCTGGGGAGCAGGCCTCGTCTGTTTGTTCCCAATTCAGACCGACGCTTTGTTCTCTGAGGGGTTAAGCCTGGGACTCCAAGTGTTGTGGAGAGGCTATAAACAATCCAAATCGAATTCTTACAACAGCTGCTTCTGGCACGGCCAGAGAAGACAGGAGAGCTGTTCAAAGAGCAGCTGAAGGGAGGCAGGTCCCTCAGGGCTGCAGAGTCGGGGGCGGGCGGACCTGCGCTGCCCTGCCCCTTGGGGGTGCTCTCGGGGGCCAGGCTGCCTTCCAGCCCAGGCTCCAAACACCACCTGCCATTGCTGAGCACTGGGCTACTGAGTCTCTTTCCCTCTCTGGCACTCAACTTCTTTGACTGCAAGCGAGTGTGTGTAATCACCCCTCTCGGACACATGGCAGAACAGCCCACAGCCTGCCACTGTCTGATTAGGAGGTTCCTCCAAGGTTCCCTCCATTCACTACTTCCACAGTCCCTGAGCAATCACCCCAAATTCCTAACGTCCGCTAACGGAGGAGTGGGGACTGGCATGGCTGACTGTGGCTCCATGCCTGCTGCTATTCTGCCCTCTGGTGGACACTTCTGAATCTGCCATTTGGGGTTCTGCAAGCACCTCGGGTGCTCCTCAAACTTCAATGTCTCTTGACTCACTAGTTTGAGAACCTGGGGATCTTGCAAAAATGCAGAATTAGCTTCAGTGAGTCCGAGGTGGGTCCATAGAGTACATCCCTGACGAGTACCCAGGTGTCAAGCCTGCCAAGGTGTTCCCTGCACCTTGTTCCAGATTGCACTGTTTTGGCCGTTGAGTATGGCTTGCTTCTTGGAGTGCTTGTCAGCATGTTTTTGAAGGACACTTTTCTGCATACTCTTTAGCACACTCAGTTGGTTTCCACACTCATCTGGGGGGTTGCTTGGGGAACCTGATGCTTCCACCTTGCCAGAAGTGAGATCCTGACCAGTGTGGATTATGTATTCCCAAAATCTTGATGCCCAGTATCGACCACGGTTCAGTCAGTAGATTTCATTAATTCATGAGGCTGGACAGAGCTTTGCTGAAAGAAATCATTTGCTTTTCTCCTAGAGTGCCAAATTAGACAATCTCACAGAGCGGTTACAAGGGAGAACAAGTAGGTGTTTAAAATCCAGAATTTCCTCATATAGACTCAAAGTTTGGGTTTCTCAGCAGAGTTCAGTGAGAGCTGCAGGAGAGAGAATTCAGGCTACGATGGCAAAGGTTTCCAGCCTCCCACTGGGGAAATGGAGAACTTCCATGTCTGGAATGGAAAAGAACCAGAGAAGCTAGAATGAGAGGAAGATGCTACTGCGTCCGTCAGCAGGAACCTGGCACCCTGTCTGCCTCAGGCTGTGGCCCACGACTAGAGGCAGTGAGTGACATTGGGGCAGTAAATCTTCTGATAGGCTCAGGGTGAGTTCTCCAACATCGGCTGGTTCTCTGCTCCTCCCTGGTGACTGGCCTGTGACAGGCACCTGCAAGTGCACGGGGCACAATCCCTAAGACTCCCCCAACCCCCACAACACACAAAGCAGGCCCAAGTTCCCGTGTTCCTGTGTCCCCTTTGGAGAGTGGCTGGATATATCATCCAATCAGATTGTCAGCAGGGTCACCGGCACTTCAAAAGCCCTGGAATGAGCAGCCAAGATTTAGAGCACCTTCAGACACCTATCACATCGAGACTCTAGGCAAGCTCAAGCCGGTTGGCAAGTCGATAGTTCTGGAACACCTGGATATTCATACAAGAAAGAGGGAAAACAACAACAACAACGAATCCCAGTCTGAGTGCTTAAGTTCTATAAAGAGTCCAGAGGAAAATACAGGAGAAAAAGAAGTATGGCCTCAGAACAGGCAAAAGTTTCTTAGGAGGCAAGAAACTCAACCCTAATGGAAGCAAGTGTTAAACTTGGACTTTATCAACATTTAAGACTTTGCTCTTGGGGCTGGCATCGTGACATAGTGGGTAAAGCCACGGCGTGTGACACTGACATCCCATATGGGCACCAGTTGGAGTCAGGCTGCTCTACTTACAATCCAGCTTCTTGCTAATGCGCCTGGGAGAGCAGTGGAAGATGGCCCAAGTCCTTGGGTCCTGTGTCAGTGTAAGAGACCCAGATGAAGCTCCTGGCTCCTGGCTTCAGCATGGCCCAGCCACAGCTGTTGTGGCCATTAAAGGAATGAACCAGTGCTTAGAAGATCTCTGTCTCCCTGTCTCTCCCTCTCTTTCTGTAACTCTGCCTTTCAAATAAATAAAATAAATATTTAAAAAAAAAGACTTTGCTCTTTGGGCAACACCACTAAGAAAATAAATGGGCAAGCAGCAGATTGGAAGATAATACATATAATGTATATTTCTAATAAAGGACTTTTATCCACAATATATAAAGAACTCTCATCAATGCAATAAAAAAAAAAAAAAACCAAGCCCACAAAATGATGAGCAGATGCTGCACAAAAGAGCTCCCCAAAAGGTTTATGAATGGCAAATTAGCACATGATTTTCAACACCAGTCATGAAAATTCAAATTACAGGCCGGCGCCGTGGCTCACTAGGCTAATCCTCTGCCTTGCGGCGCCGGCACACCGGGTTCTAGTCCCGGTTGGGGCGCTGGATTCTGTCCTGGTTGCTCCTCTTCCAGTCCAGCTCTCTGCTGTGGCCCGGGAGTGCAGTGGAGGATGGCCCAAGTGCTTGGGTCCTGCACCCACATGGGAGACCAGGAAGAAGCACCTGGCTCCTGGCTTCAGATGGGCGCAGTGCGCCGGCCGTAGCGGCCATTTCGGGGGTGAACCAACAGAAGAAAGATCTCTCTCTCTCTCTCTCTCTCTCTCTCATTGTCTAACTCTGCCTGTCAAAAAGAAAAAGAAAATCCAAATTACAACCACAGTGGGATTCCACTAAGTACTCATTAGAAGGCCTAAGATTTGGAAAACTGACAATGCTAAGTGTTAGGGAAGAACTCTGAAGCATTGCTGATGGAAATATAAAATGATGTCACTTTTCAGAAAACAGCTACCTGTTTCTTATAAACACACCCCTCCTTATGACTCAGCCCTGAGCTGTCCTGATTGTGTGTGTTTGGATTCTGAATGTGTTCATCTAGCACCCATTAACGACAGGGCCAAACAGAGCCCCTACTCTGAACCACCTAGAGGTTTTTTTGTTTGTTTTGTTTTTAAGATTTATTTATTTATTTGAGAGGCAGAGTTACAGAGAGAAGGAGAGACAGAGATAGACAGCTAATAGATAGACCCTAATTCCATGGTGTCTGACGTAGGCTGGTAGGAAATCTGTCCTCGTAAACACAGTTATTTTGTTATTTATTTATTTGACAGGCAGAGTTAGTGAGAAAGAGAGACAGAGAGAAATGTCTTCCTTCCATTGGTTCACCCCCCAAATGGCCACCACGGCCGACATGCTGTGCCGATCCGAAGCCAGGAGCCAGGTGCCTCCTCCTGGTCTCCCATGCGGGTGCAGGGCCCAAGCACTTGGGCCATCCTCCACTGCACTCCCAGGCCACAGCAGAGAGCTGGACTGGAAGAGGAGCAACCAGGACAGAACCGGCGCCTCAACCGGGACTAGAACCTGATGTCCTGGCGCCACAGACGGAGGATTAGCCAAGTGAGCTGTGGCGCCGGCCAAACACAGTTATTTTGTAATGAAGCATATACAGCTCTTCTGAATATTTTCCAAACAGATTTGATTTTATGAGATTTTACAATGTAACTATTAGTGAACTATTAGGGTACTTTTTTAAGTTTTGTAAAATTAGTGCTGAAAGTAATACCAGAAGTTGTATTCAGGCGTTAATATTCATATGTCTGATGAGAGTGTAGGGCATAAAGAAGGAATCGCTTTTTTAATAAACAGCTGAACAGCACAGCTTTCAACTGATTGAAGGTTTGCCTTTGACCCACGTGTCACAGCATATGCTGCCAAAAACTTCAGATGCGTGAGAGTTAAGCATAAAACACCATCGTGATTACCAAAAGCTAAGAAAAACAAAATGACATATTTGTGCCAGCTGTGCAGGACAGTGTGATTCATTGTTTTGGAAAAGAAGATGATATCAGAATTAAGATAGATATGTCCACGTAGACATTGCCCTAAACTCTTGACTAATATGGTCTGATTAAATAACAATCACACTTTTTCAAAATAGAAGTCTGTCAACTTCCACAAGCATTTGATGTATTCATGCTATAAATAACCTTTTTTTTTAAATAAATATTTATTTACTTCAAAGGCAGAGTTACAGAGAGGGGGGAGGGACAGAAAGAGAGAGAGTCAGAGAGAGATCTTCCATCCTTTGATTCACTCCCCCAAATGGCCACAACAGCCAGGGCTGGGCCACGCTGAAGCCAGGAGCCATGAATTTCTTCTGGGTCTCCCACATGGGACTTGGGCCATCTTCCACTGCTTTCCCAGGCCATAGCAGGGAGCTGGATCAGAAGTAGAGTGGCCATGATTTGAACTGGCACCCATATGGAATATCAGTGTGGCAAGCAGCAGCTTTACCCACCATGCCACAGCACCAGCCCCTCAAATAGTTTTGATATGGACTAAGACAAGGGGCACATTTGATATGGACTAAGACAAGGGGCACACCCAAACTTCTAATGTTTTGATGTTTTACAGAAAACACAATTATGGTATTTCTAAAACTTAACTAGGCCGGCGCCACGGCTCACTAGGCTAATCCTCCGCCTTGCGGCGCCGGCACACCGGGTTCTAGTCCCGGTCGGGGCGCCGGATTCTGTCCCGGTTGCCCCTCTTCCAGGCCAGCTCTCTGCTGTGGCCAGGGAGTGCAGTGGAGGATGGCCCAAGTCCTTGGGCCCTGCACCCCATGGGAGACCAGGATAAGTACCTGGCTCCTGCCATCGGATCAGCACGGTGCGCCGGCCGCGGCGGCCATTGGAGGGTGAGCCAACAGCAAAAGGAAGACCTTTCTCTCTGTCTCTCTCTCTCACTCTCACTGTCCACTCTGTCTGTCAAAAATAAAAATAAATAAATAAATAAAATAAAAAAATGAAAAAAACTTAACTATGAGTTCAGAAATGTGTCACCACCTCCTGAGAATAATATGAGGTCAAATTGACCCACTTTGGTAGAGACCTTGGAGTAAGTCTTTTCCTGCCATTTCTGAACACATTTTATCTCTTTAGGTGTGTCCTTGATTAGAAGTGTAGCTCTATGCTGCTCTTTTAATTCAAGTCTTTGCACAGTACTCACATAAAATCATGCAACAGAGCACACATGTGCACCATTCTCAGTTAAGCGTTGGGTAAGGCTCAGAATCCGCTGCTTGACACATATTCTCCCTAAGTTATCAGAGCTGATTGCACAAGCGAACATGTAACTACATAGAAATAACATCTCATGATAAATAGTATCAGGATGCACCACAAATGTGGGAGGTTGCTCTATCTCTGACTTTACATTTGAGTAGTTTTCAAATATTACTAATGAATCAATCATTTTGTTCTGAATTTTAGTGGTTAGATGTTTTTCCATTAATTTTAGCAGCGAGATGGAGCAGGATGTACAGGGGATTCCCACTATCCCACCCCAACCTATGCTCAACCTCCCCCACTACATCCTGCCCCAAGTGGTGCATTTGCAGCGATGAACCCGCATTGACATATCACTATCCCCACAGTCCACAGCTTACAGTGGGGTTCACTCTTGGTGTTGAACACTCTGTGGGTATACACATGCATAAAGACGTATGTCCACCATTGTAACATTTTATGGACTTTTGCCTTTTCCAGGATGTCATATAGTTGGAATCAACCAGTATGCAGACTTTTTAGATTGGCTTCTCACACTTACTAATTTTCTTCCTTGTCTTTCCATGGCTTAACGACTCATTTCTTTTTAGCGTTGAATAGTATTCCATTTTCTGGGTGTTCCAGAGTTCATTTATTCACTCACCTACTGATGGATATTTTGGTTACTTCCAGGTTTTGGCAAGAAGTTACTCTAAATCTGTCTGTGCATGCAGAATTCTGTGTGGACATAAGTTTTCATGACTCAATATTGAAGCATTAATTTCTCTGTACTTTTTTTTTCAAGGTACCATCTTAATTTAAATAAAGAATTGTCTGAGATTTCAATGTGAGCTACATTGCAAAAAGCACGACTCTTGGCAAACTATTCATCTATATGAGTCAGAATTTTCTTTATAGCAAAGCCAAAATAAAAATACTGAAACAAATTGGAAGCTAAAATGTGTGTGACTGCAAGTCATCCATAATTTCAGA